GGGGGGCGGCGGAATAGTATTGAATCTATTGTAATGAAATGCAGTCCATATGGTATGATAAAACTTCCAGCATATTCGTTACTTTAACCTGTTAATTCTGGTTTTTTTTCCTGTTGTAAATTCATGTTTACAACCATGTATTTGTTTTCCTTTTCAATGATTTCCTGAGATAGTTACAAATAAATTCCTGTTGTGTTTAAGATGTTTGAATCAGTCTCGTAAGCTGGATAATGTCTTTGTCATAGAATTGTCATGAAGAAATTACAGTCTACAAAGATGATGTGGAGGAAGTTGGGGTGTTGGCTCAGCAAATACTAGAGGAAAGTCTCACTGCAAGTAGAATGGGTAACCAGGCTACGCAGCTTACTTCTCGCTACCAAACTCTTCTTCTTCATGTCTTGGTAAGTAATGAAAATTAATTCATTATAACATCATAAATTGTCAGTTAAGAAGCAAATATAAACAGACTTTCTTAATTAGACTTTATCAGAGTTTATTCATTATTGTAGACTCAATAATATAATATTCATATATATGTTCATATATATGCACACACATACGTGTGGAGTTCATTGGACTAAATGTATTAGAGAACCATAATGGGGATAATGCCCTTTCAAAAACATTCAGTGTTAATCAGATGTTGTTACTGTCTTTTTTGGCAGTTTCAAGAGAGAAATTCAGAATTCAGTATGTTTGAATGCTGAACGACCTTTAGAGAAATGTTTTCAGGTTATCACTGAAACACATAGATATGGGGAAAATTTAAATTGATAAGGTACAGTCTTCAGGTCACTTTAAGTAATCTGTGTCTCATAGTATCGTAATCACAAATCACAATTCAAATTTCAAAATATAAGTACCTTTTCAGTGTTTAGTATTAACTCAGTTTTAACATTAGTGATTGCTATATGTACACCCTGACAAGATCCCGGTAGGAATTATCCACTAGATACGAACGAACTTAAAACCTATGTGTTTAATCTTAGTATATCAGGTTTTATTCATAAACAGCAATTTACTGTTATCTTTAGCCAATAGCAATGATAAACATCTGTTTCCTCCCCTGCCCTCCGTATTTGTTTGAAGGAGCAAGTAAAGTTTCTGGAAGAAGAAATACGCTGTATGGAGGAGTCAGAATTGGCTTTTAGTGCTTACACAAATTGGTACGGAGCTACTAACAAGAACTTCAGAAATGTGATTGCCAAGTTTGACGTGGTTGATAAAGCAGCAATGGAGAAAAAAGTGCAGAAACTAGAGGTACAGCTTTCTTGAATGCAATTTTTGTTTCTGTTTGCCAAAAAGAGGCTATATTTTAACGTGCATCTAAACAGCTGCTCAAAATTCTGACTTAGCTTCTCTGGGCAAGGTGAATAGGATAAAGACCACCCAGTATAAAACCTTTTGTTCTCATGTCATATATACATTAGATGACAGTTTGGTTGTTGAGGTTATGAATAGTCCTAAATAATATAATCCTATCTTTCCATAAGGCATGTTTGTATGTGTTTTGTTTTAGGTTAAAACTTAAAATAAATTCCCCTCGCAAGGCATCCTGTCATGTATATTTTATACCAGTATGCACTGTGGCAAGAAGTGCTTCCTATTTCTCCTCAAATAACTCAGTAGTAAAACTCACATTTCATCTCAGAGTTGTAGATGAGTTTTTCATATGTCCTGCAGCTTAAAGATAATATGCTAAGGGAAAACTTTCATCTATTCCAGAATTTAGAGTATGAATTCTCTTCTGATAGCCCTCAGTTTCTGTGTTTATCTTCACAAGCCCAGTGTAGAAGTCTTTGCTTTTTCTACTTCCCTCTAGTTTACCGCACTTTAACTCCAAGCAATTTTTGTAATGAAAGTCCATTCAATTTCCCTAGCAATTCCTTTCCTTAGCAAAATTTAAAAAAAAAAATTAGTTAGCCTCTGACTGATAATAGAACTACAATGAATTTAAAAAAAAAAAAAAAAAAAAAAGGCAAGAGCTTGCATACATTTTCTGTTAACCAACACTTCCTTCACAGCTGCTATTGAGTGATATGGACATAGGCCACAGTTTACTGAAATCTGCCCGTGAGAAGGGGGAGAGAGCTATAAAGTACATGGAAGAAAATGAAGTTGACCAGTTAAGAAAAGAGATTGGAGATCATATGGAACAGCTGGAAGAGCTGGCTGGCTCCATCAGGAAAGAGCACATGACTTCGGAGAAGTGCCTTCAGCTGGCAAAGGAGTTCTCAGACAAGTACAAGGCACAGACACAGTGGGTCACGGAGTACCAAGCCATGTTACATGTTCCAGTGGAGCCAAAAAGCGAACTCTATGAGAAGAAGGCTCAGTTGTCCAAATACAAGGTAAAAAGGGGTTATATCATTGTACTGTTGAGTTGATCTTGACCTAGTGACTCACAATAAATCCTCTGATCCAGGTGTCTGTTCAAGTTTCCTCAATAGATGTATGAGATGTCTCTGATCTGGATGTCCAAATCAGCACCAAAGTGAAAAGATGCATGATCCCTGCCTCTGTGAACTAGAGTGAGCACCTGGATTTGAAATATGAATGTGCTAATAAGGGTTCCACATTTGAAAATTTCCTGTTACGGAGCAAAATTCTTTTATGAGTACACATATAAGTAATTCCATTGATATCAACAGAGTTGACTGCTGTTTAAGCAAGGATAGAAATCAGTTGGTCTTTCTTCACTGCAGACATTGCCTCTATTTACATTGGCTTAATCAGCTTTCTGGTTAAAGCTGAATGTCCCAGCTCAACTGACATCTAAGACAGTCAGCTGCTGTGGCCTCCTCTGTTTTTAGTTAGGTTTTTAATGAAGTGTGTTGTGTTTGGTTTTTTTTTTTTCCTCCAGTCATAAAAACGAGTAGAAAAATTGACAACAAACCCCATTGTTTCTCTTAATGATGTTTTTGTAAAGTAGTCCAAGATTACAGATGTTTCATAAGATGTGTACTGGATCTGACTGGGGTTGAGCTAACTCTCCTCATAGAAGCCCATGTAGTGCTGTGCTTTACATTTGTGGCTAAAACAGTGTTGCTAACAAATGGATTTTTTGGCTATTGCTGAGCAGTACCTGCACAGCATCAAGGCTTTCTCTCTGAAACTGCCCACTACCCCTCGCCAGCCTCAGTACTGCAAGTAGTATGTCATAGCTGTGTGCTTGCTTTCTACGCATTTGGGGAGCTAGTGTCTCACTGTCATTTGATAGATGCTGGCATGTGCCGCGCCGTCTGAGCTAGTGGCACAATGGCATAACAGATCAGACCGCATACTCTTGAGAGTAGTGTCTTACGCACTCGTCTGCATGCTACCTCATTAAGGGGATGGCTTTGGTGATGCTTTCCCACCTATTTGCAGAATTTGTTCCTCTGAGCAAGTTTTATCCCTAGCACTTACCCATTCACACGTATTAACTCCCTCTTCTTCACCAGCTCCAGATTATCAGCCATGTTACTAGCCACTCACAAAAGGAGCAATTGCTTTTAGGTGGCTGCAAAGTTGTTGTCTGAGGGGATGGCTGAGAACATGGTCCTGTTCTGGTAGCAAAGCTCTTCTCATCTGGAAAGGATGAGATATACCATGATAGAAGGCTGTGCTTCAGATCAAAGGGAAGACGGTGAAATAGATCTTCAGTGTTCAATATATATGTTTTAATTCTTGCTTGCATTGTAGTCCATACAACAGACTGTTCTGTCCCATGAGCCTTCAATAAAATCAGTGACTGAAAAGGGAGAAGTACTTTTCGATCTGGTGAATGATGTAACTCTAAAGAACAACATTCAAGACCTTCAGAGCAGTTACCAGGAACTCTGCAGCAGAACAAAGGTCAGCAAGAAAACTCTAGGTTCTTTTGATTTGCTATATTTTTTCCCCTCTTTAAAAAGTTGACTATTTGTTTTATGTTGTCATGTCACACCCTGTACACAGAGCCAGTTATATTTAATTTTGGGGGGG